ACCCTAAGGGAGGTGCAGTTGGTGTAATATCAATGCCAGTATGATAGTGATTGAAGGAACTGGGCAATTTCTGTCCTTGGCCCATATGTATACATATTGACTCCCCCTATAAAAAGAACTTGTGTCACACTCTACCTTAGTGGGAGGTCAATAAAATGGAAATCCTTTAGTAAAATAGAAGTTAAGCTTCTTGGTTGAATAAAAAATAACTAGTGGAATTAAGTTGAAAAACAAAAGTATTTAAATTCCCTGTCACTGTCAGTATTAATGTTCTTATCTGATTAGGATATAATTGTGTGCACACAATTATGAAAGGTGACTGGCATCATTTGACAGTTGAAATGTTTGTGTGTGTGTGTGTTTTTTTTTTAAGGGCCTTTTTCAGTTCAGGCAATCCCAGCAGGTACAGGTAATTCAGAGATAATGTATTGGTAGTCAAACTAATATCCTCATCTTTGTTGTTATTATCACAATGTTTTAGCCATTGTGTCTTCTAATCCTGGTAACCATTAGAGAATTTCATGTTGAACCCTCCATTTAATCTACAACAGTAGATTGTTCTTGTACCACTGGTCATATCTAAAGAAAAACTCATCTTGCTTTCTTTTGCTCAGTACTGCTCAGTTATTGCCCAATCTGCTCCGATTGAGCCTGTACTATTTGGTTGAGAGATTGAACTTGGAATTATTATGTTCTGTTTCAAATTCCTTGAAGAATACCTAGATTGACATAGACCTGAAGAAAGCTGGAGGTTCAATGGAGGAAACGTTGTGATGATAAAACAAAGATAAAGATATTAGTTCAACTATAAATAATGTAAATAATTATAATGTTTCATCCCAGAAATTTTAACAGAAATTAGGAGTTAATTTATGCATTAGTAAGTTAAAGGAAAGCAAATGTATCTGATGTAGGAGAAAGAGGTTATATTACACAGTTATTTAAAAAGTTTATTTTGGGAAACAAACATCCTTTATTGTTAATACAAATTTGTGTGGAGTAAATAAATATTAGTAATGACTGCTTGCAAAAGTTGTCATGATAATTCCAAGAGCTGTTTAAATTAATTAAGTATTCTTTTTTTTGTTATGGATGATTCATTCTGTGGCCTTCTTTAGGTGCACAACTCATATAGAAAGAGCCAAGGTCTATTTTCCTTGATAGGAAAAAGGTAAGTAATAGTAACAAACAGAAAAATAGTGACAAATATACTAATAAAATGAAATCTTTCACAGCTGTAACAGCGACTTTATCGTGAGCAAAAACAAAATGGAAGTAACAAATGGAGATAAGACGTGAAAGAATTTTTTCTATTTTCTGTGATCTTCAAGCTTCATTCCGGGGCATCTTATGTTAGTCACGAGAGACCGAGAGTTCGTTTGGGGTATAACACAATGTAGTAGTCGAGATAGACATGTGGAGAAAAGCAACAAGCATATGTAGTCAAGTGAGATAAACATATCAGAGAAATATTCCATTAATTATTGCATTGTAGTAGTTGAGAGCTAGTCTCTGCTGCTATTGATGGTTTCATTGCTGATTAAAGGCATCACTGCTGAAGACCTCGGCAGTTGTGTAGCCAGCTGTGCCTGATTAAGTTTGCTTGCCATGGCAGTCTGTCACTAATGCTAACTGTGTCGGACCTGTCTTTCATGGGTGAAATCAGCATTGGCTTTACAGGGAGTGAGGAATAACTCCAAAACATCTGCTGCCAAAGCTACTTGGCTTTTTTCTGATTAGTCAGAAAGATGTTTTATAACCCTGGAATTTTTAGATGAAATTAAGGTTGTTTTGGTTATATGAGCTGTGGATGTTGAAGTGAACACTTCCATTTGAGATAAAGAATTGGAGCTCCAATGAATATCACATATAGCTTGCATTATATCTGTTGCTGTGAATGGATTGGTCTGATCAGTAGGTTTACCACCATTTTTTCTTTTATGGTGTATCAAAAGTATTTTCATTTTTTCTTTTATTTTTTAAGTTTTTTACTCCATAGCTTATTCATATGCATGTCTAAAGACTATTATATCACTATATTATATCACTCATACATTTCTGAATTCCACCAGTTCAGGCCTTCACAGTTAGGTCCTGCCATAGTGTGTATGCAGGGTCAACTCATCCTCATTTCCTTGGTGGATGTGTGGGTGGTGTAATGGAGAGCAGGTTGGGATTAGAAATCTCAGAGCTGAGTTTGAATTTCATTTGTGTTTGTGACATTCACTTATATGCAAATACCCTTGGGAAAGGAATTAATCCATCTCCTCCCCCAGTTATGGGTTAAATAGTATGATGTGTATCCATAAAAATCCTTGTCATTCTAAAATATGTTAATGCAATATTAACTTGCAAAAGTAAGTGTTCTTACAATCAGAAATGATTTGTTTTTACGGCTTATCAGCAATCATTCCCTTCAAGATGATTGATAATCCATAAAACACAAAACAATAATTCCCTTTGTATTCAAATCATAAGGAGAAAGTTCCACTGGGACAGCTTCCTAAGAACTGTTACTTTGTGGAGCATACATCCAATGTCTCCCTGATCACTACACTCATAACCTCTTTAAGTCTAGAGTCAATTGTTATCTATCCTACATATCCTCATAACATGCACTCCTTAATTCCTCTTCTTATGCTCTTACAACAACCTCATTCAATAACACTCTATCTTGAGTGGCTCTTGGGCCTTGTAATGGGTGAACAATAGTAAAATAATACAACTGTTGTGCATTCAACAAATTCCTGGATAATGACCCTGAATTCAAGCATAGTTTCGGATTATAGCATCATTATCATTGACCCAGGGAGCCCCAGAAGTACCCAGCAATGCCACCAGACACTGTGGCAGTATGAGTTACAAGCATATGCATTCACTGCTTTAATCATGAAGCTTATCTATTTTGATATCAACTGGAGATGAGTTAGATGTGTCAAGGCTGAAGTGGAAATGACACTCCAGTATCTTAATGCAATAGCAGACATATTAGCTGCATAGCCAATATTTCAACTCTCAGGCTCTGATAAGCCTTCAAAGTTCCACTCACTATTATGTGACTCACTCCAGATGATACCAGAAAAGATTTTGCATTCAATATCACACCAGATCTAAAAGGAGCTAACCAGGGATGGCGATATGCACTTCACTCAATGTCATTGGCTTCCCTGACAAATAGACAAGTGATCAACTCAAATGTGCCTGGGATATGCCCACAAGGGAAAGAGCTGTATAACAGATATATAAACACCCACTCCAGAAAGAATAGTATCTTACATCCACATGAGAATGTAGGGTCCATGTTTGGAGAGGTCCTGGGGATACTCACCCACTGGTTGACAGTAATTGACAAAGTTCGGAGTTGAATAAAATATTAGGTTGCATATGAGACGTGTATTTATTAGTAATGTGTGATAAGGTTGCCTAAATATAAAACTCAATGAGCAGATAAATATTATCAATTCTATTTAGCTCTAACTTTCCTTTCAGATGTTATAATGGGCAACACAAATATCGAGTTTCTTCCAATGTTAAGGCATTATTTTAAACTGGGACTCATATTTACTGAAACTACATGTAGAATTCAAAGTCTGAGTCGAAATAAAAAGTATTTGATTGTCATGCACAAAACTGCTTCTCCTGCTGCTGCTAAATCCTATGCCATGAGCCCATGAGAGCCACCTGGTCCAGCCAGCTCTCAAGGTCTTGGTAAAGTGTTGGAACATCCTCTAGTGCTAAATTAATCTGCTGGAGATCCTGGTGATTTGGTTTGTTTTACGGCATTTCAACCTGTATGGGTTATTTAATGTCGACAAGATTTTTATTGCTGGTAATATTTTTTTCAAAAATGTATTGCTGGTAATAATTTTTTTTCTTCAAAGATTCATTGCTAGTAACAATTTTTTACAAAAATGTATTCAGTCAGTTATGTGCCATGTGTGATACATGCTTAGGCGATCATGTATCTTGATACATAACTGATGAGGCAGATTTTTTTCCCACAATAGGTTGCTATTTCTTTCTGTGGTAGACCAGTTGCCATCCAAGGCTATAGAACCCAGTCTGTCCTGCTATTTACCCATAGCTGGGGGGGGGGAAGAGAAAAAGAGGATTCATACCTTTCCCAAGGGTATTAGCATGTAAGTGAATGTAATGGATTCGACTGGAATTCGAACTCAGCTCTCCAGTTCTGCAATCCATTACTCTACCATGCCAAAAATGTATTACTGGTATTAAAATCTATTTTACACTTTCATAGTGCTTTGACCCCAGTTTGGGGGTTAACTATTTGTCAATAGCTGGCATCCTAACGGGTGCTATCACCTCGGGTCAGGGTTGACCCGGGAACACCAGGGATTAAGAGGTGGCTCCATGGTCCTTAAAACCTCCTGTTGGATCTAGTTTATCGTCTTACCCAGGACATGGATATAATTTATTGTCTTACCAAGGATGGGATCCTGGTGGTTGACGTCTTTCCAGCGTCTGTGTGGCCTGTCGTGAGGTTGTCTTCAAAACTGTTTTTTAAAGGATGATGAAATATTCTTTGAATTAAAACCCAGAATTGGATGACCGTCAATTGTTGGTAATGTTTCTTTTAAATGTAAGTTAGAGAAGAAACGGTCCATCCACTGTCGAAAAATATCAGAAACGCTTGGTGGAACATAGATACCATATGTGAACATAAGCTTCAAAATCCACACCTGAGTTCTTGATACATTAAAAAAGCAAAAATGCTTTTGATATAACCATAATATTTTATTTGTTTGCTGCTATTTTCTGGTCTTCACCACCGAGAAAAATTCCTTTGTTTTCATATGGATTGCATATCTAAAGAAGGCCGTAGGATGGATTGGCTGTAACATGATGGTAGCAAAAAGTAATGAAAAAAATGAATTCAATTATTTGTACAACTCTTGGAACAATTCTTTTCAAAATTACAGAACCTATTCTTCACAAGCAATAAAATAGTAGGAAGAGAATCAAGATAACTTTATACTTACGCTTTCAAGCCTAAGATAAGGTAGAGTAAGCGTGGAAGATATAAAACTTGTCGATTGCAACGGATTGCATCCATAATTTTTTCTGCTACATACTCCGGTTGTAGAACTGGCAACAAGGAAGGAAATCTGATAACAAAAAATAAAGTAATATATATTAAACTGAATAACAATAAATAAACACCACCAAAGATCACGTTTTTTAACTAATTCTTTAAAACCGAAACAAGGACCAAGAGCCACCCAAGACAGGGATTACATAAGCATCTTCTCAGAAGTCTATTCCACAAAGTAACAGTCCTTGAAAAGAATCTGTTCAAATGGAAGTTGCTCCTTACTCATGGAATACAAAAGGAATGGGGATGGTTTGTCTCAGTATATGTGGAATGGCGGGTCTTAGCTGTGAAGGTCTGAACTGGTGGAACTAAAGAATGTAGCTCGTCAGAACATTTGTCATGGAAATAGAGATAGACTAGCGAAATTCTTGCAATGTTTCATCTGTGGGAAACGGGGTGTAGAATGGAAAATAATTAATCCTCCGCAAGTCCGTGGAAATGGTTTTAAACTTTTACCAAGACTGGATACTCGTTAGAATATAACTGCTTTCTTCCATATAAAGAACTACAGAAAGTGATAAAACTTTTTTTTTCATTTTCTCATACTGAGGACATAAAATACAGAAGCGAAATTAAGACGACAGTCTGTTCCTTATTGAAAGCGGGGTTTTAGACAAAGAACTGTCTTTTCTTATTTCTTTTATTTTAGTTTGTTGAGATAGTCTAGAAGAAACCCATTTCACATGTAGATGCACATCTCTATACGTATATCGAATAAAACTACGTTGTTTTATATAAAGAACAACAGGGAGTAATTTAAACATTTTATTTAAACTTCATACTGTTGTAGTAAAGAAAAGACTCAACTGATAGTAGCAACTGCAATAGATTTCTTGTTTCTCGGCCGCAACACTTGTAGCCAAATCGCAGTTCACACGACAGCCCGGCGTAACAGTCCCACACACACCGTAGAAACGACAAAATGGGGGTCACAAATCCAACCTTCACTTCTCGCCAACAACAACGCGTGTTCGTTTCCCAGCTCAAAAATTCATCTCCTTTTATAAGCGAAAAACAACGACTTCTGTTCACCGAGAGAATTTTCTGATTGGTCACGCCATTCAGGGGAGGGAAGAACATTAGCATAGCTTCTAGTCATTGATGTAGATTTTTGCTGACTACTTTTTGGTAATTTTTCTTCGGCAGATCGCACATAAAACACGATCTTTTTTCCGGGGTACCTGATTATCTCTTTCACTACACATACATAAGACTTAAAAAGTGCAGAAGAGACATCAAGAAGGTGCTCAAGGTTATCATTAAAATCTATTCCTTTCATGACAATGTCTTCATTCTACTTACTCTTCTTTTATTTGAGCACTTTGACGTTGTGTAATCGTTAGCACACTAGAGTAGTGAGTTTGATCCTCACCATGTGCTCCATACTTGTGATCTTGTGCCACTTCTAAGCTACACATAATAAATCAATATTTTGTTTTTATTTTTACCTTCCACTCTATATAAGCTTCTGAAGTGGCCTGGTATTATTGTATCATTTCATAAGCAAAACATTTGATTTGTCGACAGATGATTGCCTTGGCAGAAAATGACCATTCATTTTACTACTCACCTAACTTTTACGCCCTCAAACATTCCTGTGCTGATATAGAAGGGACAGACAACTGTTGTGTGCACTTGGTCCTTCCCGAGAACTTCCAGTTCGAAGCGTAATGATTCATCAAAGCCAACGGCTGCAAATTTGCTAGCGCAGTAGTCAGCCAATCCATTCACTCCTAAAACTCCAGCTGCACTTGCAATAGTCACCACATGCCCATGGTTTACTTTAATCATATCAGGAAGGAATGCTTTTACCGTCTGGAACCAGAAGAAATAAATTGTTATAGATTATCAAAATAGGAAAAAAGTTGTAGGGTATTTAGCTAGAAAATACAAACAAATGATTCTTCAATATCTTTCTATATCTCTGAGATGAGGTATTATGATTACTTGCATTATTTTCATTATTCGGACTGTTATCTTCATCTTCATTACAATATTCACAACGTTTCAGCCGATGTACGCTCCGGTCTTTTTCAGGTGACTGGAATTTTGAACCGAACCCTTTATTTCATCCACCGGCGTAGAATGTTCTAGTTCCACATGCTATGCCTCTTCTGGATGTCTCAGTGAGTTGAGTTAAAGGGAAATAACTAAGTCTTTGGTCCATCACCTTGAGGGCTCATGATTCAGTGAATAAAGACGTTGGTTAGATCCAGTGACTAGACCCAAAGAATTGTGTATTCAATACCAGGCCACAGCAGTGGCGAACCAAAAACTTAGAGTTAAAGGGAAGTAATTGAGACACCCTGAAGCAGCATTGCACGTGGAACTAGAACAACGTACCCTGGTGGACGAAATAAAGGGTTCGGTTAGAAATTCCAATCACCTGAAGAAGTCCAGAGCGTACAAAGGCCAAAACGTTGTAAATATGGCAATGAAGATGAGGATAAGAGTCCGAATAATGAAAATAATGCAAGTAAATGATTCCTCTTATTAATGTTATATTTATTAAATCAAACTAGTTTATATTTCGTATTGAAAAAGTCATTAACATCCAAGATATTTATCGGACAATTGAACCTCTTTGTATTGTTGGGGTTTCAAAAATAAATAAAAATACCTTTTCAAATTCCTTGTACAATTACCATTTCATCGTCACATAGACACATAAAAGCAGACTTAGTAGTACCCCATGCAGACGTAGCAGAAATACCACGTGACCCTTCTCAATCAATAGAAATTAGAGCCTATCAGCGGTCTATATAAGAATTCACACAGAGGACACACAGCGAGCACACACAGAAATCTCAAACAGGAGTACACTCACGCAAGTGTATTCACAATAAGCGCACACTGGAACACACTTGGCGGTTTCACTCACACTGCGCCGAAGAAAATGTCTCTCATCCGGGCACTCATTCGGAACAGCACAAGTGAGATAACACAGTTTTGCCCTCAAACACCAACTACACTGACTGCAGAAAAGGAAACCTCCTAAGTGAGTTCCTTCTATCCATAAATATATACGCATACACTCATACACATACAATATATATATATATATATATATTAGTAGTAATCCTATAGGTATAAGAAACTACACTCATTCGGAAAACCTTCGGTGTCTTGATTTGCAAATACTCAAACCAGTACCAAAGGTAAAAAAAAGTATATATAAAAAAGAAAGAACCAAGAACATGTACGTTAGGCGAAAATAATCGCCCAGCATGCAAGTTCAAAGCCCAAAGAAAAAAACCCCATACGAGTACGCAAAACAACTAAATAAAGTGCTCAATACGGTAAGTAGAGCAGACCTAATTAAACCTAGAGAGCCAGACAAACCTACCAAGTTTTCACCTAAGCGGATCGTCAGGGAAATATATATTCACACCTGCATGTATTAAGCACACATCCATACAGACACGGGCTTTTTTCTCAAACTTTATCCCAATAGACATTTTCCGAACTCTCTTTAATCATTCTAAGAACGCCTTTTTCTTTTTCATTTAATTGTTGCCATTGTTATTAAATTGTATTCAAATTGTTAAACGCTGTTGTTTTATTCCTCATTTTGGTACAACAGCAAAGTTTCGTGGGCTCCTTTGTTTCTCTCGTTTGACCTCGGCTGCAATACTCTAAAGGGGATTGCCAGTAAGTACCTTTACCGTCAAAACAATGTCAGCAACCACCACTAAAACAAAAGTATATTTGATATTAACACAGCTTTTGAAGATGGGCGAAAATATTTGACTATTTTCTAATAGAATTCAATGTGCAGATATCCTGTGTCCGTATCAATCATCTCTTTCTGTTTTGTTCTTTTTTTTTTTTTTTCAGGTACAGAAGAATTCTAGAATTTTAGTCTAGAAACAGGATATTTCCTCTATCCCGTACTGAAAATACCTCCTTATTTTAATAAGATGGTTTTAAATAAGAAGTATCCAATTAGTCATATTTATCGGGTTTTATGATTTTTTTTTTACACTAGCGGTTCAAAGCATTTGCTTTTTAATGTCAGGATTTTAATGTTTAACTTTTAACTACGGCATTTTTGCTCATTCAATAAAAAATAAAACAATAATAAAAATTCGTGTCAATGATGTTTAATAAATCACCATTTTTCGCATGACCACATATGCACAACACTTCTAATTGTCTCTGACTTTGAGAAGACTCATTATTATTCCAAGTATTTTTCGACCAATAGAACGCCTTCTTCGTATCTTGGATGCTGGGAACAGTATTTTGCCCGATCTATTCTTTAGTCCCCGTTCGGATTTTGCGTAAGAAAAAAAAACAACTATTTTTTCATGTGAAGACACAAAAAGTTGAAGGAAAGAAGTGGTTATTACTAACATATAACTGGACAAGTTAATTTCTACAGTACTGGGTATGCAGATGACACTACACTGATGGCAGCCTGAAAAGCAAAACGGGAAGATCCTCTAGAAAAGGTAGAAAGCGAGAAGAAAGGACTAACACTCAATTGTAAGAAGGCAGAAATATATTTTTGTGGTTAGCAAAAGGGACAGCCCAAAATGCAAGTTGGAGACGCCAAAATAAACAAGTCCAGAAATTGAATTATATGGGAAGAGTTTGAACAGACGACGGAAAATGTGACACACCATACCCGATGACACATTGGAATAACGAAAGATGCCTATCAAAAGCTAAAAGTATTCAGAAATAGGAAAAGTTTGTTAGAACAGTTAAGAAACAATGTTGAACTGTGTAGTGTACTAATGTTAATAGAAACGATTAACATGAGTGCTACAAAATAAAGAAGTTTTATTTCCTTTTCTTTTTACAACACAAGAACTTGTGGAAAAATCTAAAAAAAAAAAAAAATGAATCGTTCGCGTTTTGTTTTTCCCTTTTTAAAGTCTGTACGAGTTGTGAAGTATCAGTGGCCGCGTGGCGTTAAAAGCATTTTCGCCAAGTTGAGAGTCGCAATTTGATAATATTCGTTCAGCGGTCAAAGGAGCGGGCTGCAGTAAAACACAGTTGTATTCATCTGGCCGAGCAAGTAAACTTTTCTGAGGTATTTTGAAAATATTGTCATTTTTATATTGTTCTGATGATGGGCTCGCGCACACACCTGTTAGCTCCACAAATTTCTTACGAAATGACCGTGCATTTTTGTAAATCCGATTGGTCAAAAACTGTGGTCGATTGGTTCATTTTTTTTTTTTTTAGAAAACGTGTGTAGGCGTATTTATATATTAAGAATTGCGCCAAAGTTGATCCGATTTTTCTTGAACCCTCCTTGATGGGGAAATTGCATCATTTTCCTATAAACTGTTATGCAATATCAATCCTTCTTAGACAATATCCTTACAGGAAACTTGAGACGACAACTTGTGGTTCTATAAAAGGATGTTGAGAATACCATAGACAAAAAATGTTAGCAACGATAAGGTTGTAAGGCAAATGGAAAGAAAAAGGACACTTGTACTTAGAATCCGAAAGAGACAGTTGAAATCTCTGGGCCATATGATGAGGAATAGGAGTTTGGAGAATTCTATCCTTAAAGGACATATTGAAAACGAAAAGAGAGAAAGATTGGTTACCCTACTTAAGGAGAAGAGAGACTGAGAGAGATAGTAAAAAGACAAACATTGGTTCGAGCAGTATCGAGGTTGTGGAGGGTTATGATCATCTACGTCCTGAGGAGACAAAGCTCATATAAAAAGACGGTACCCCATATCGCTACCTAAATACCCTGAAGAATACAAACGATACATTGATGAATTTCCTAAAACCCATTATTTTAAGCAAAGATATATTGCGTATCGTATCATCTGATTACTTGTGATCTAACCGCAATTCTCCAGGCCCCAACGCTGCATCACTAACTGAATGACCGATGGACAGTTTTAAATCATATTTTAATCGCTTCATTTTATGGAGAACAGTAGTAGCTGTTTCTTGGAGGAAGCGTAAGGGAGCCAAGTCCCCATCATCGCGTAGTGGCTTATCTTACTAAAGAATCTGAGAGCAATGAGGCGTTTTCACTTCCATTATTTCATCCGTACTGTCTTCACGCATTTTTCCGTCTTATATAAAACTTAAACAAGGCAATCCATCATTGTCAGGATTTCACGAGATTCAACCCCTCCATTAAATTCGGATCGTCAGAGTTCTGACCAGTACGGCAGGGTTTGCCATTTTGGACCAGCCCACGCATTCTATAACAGAAAATCACACAGTGTTGAAACTCATATGAACCCAATTTAAGCACCCTGCCAACAAGATGATATATGTATTTCTTTCAACGTCACAGAATATATCTGTGACAAGGACTGAAGAATTAATAAATTAAAAACTCGTGTTAACAATAACGCAAAGAAAACGTTTATTTTCCATCAGATTTAGTTGCTTCTTATTTTTAAATCTAAATTTTTTGGTCATTCTACATTTTATGATTAAATAACATGGATGGAGAATAAGTGGTGTTAATCATAAATACGAAAGTCGTAATCCCAAACGAAAGACACAATCTCAAACATCGAATGCTGAAATTTTTAAATACACATTTGCGAATGCGATACTCTCGAACATTAAAATCCCGAAAGACAACTGCGAATACCATAATATCAAAAGACAAATTTGTGATTTGTTGAAATCCCGAAATTTCAGAACGCTGTAAAACTAAAATATCGAAAGCCACAATCTTGAAAGGTCAATAACATTAAATTGCTGAAAAACATAATAAAAAGCATTCAGTATTGTCTTTCGGGATTAGGATCCAAATTCGGAAATAAGATGCAATTTGATCATGGATATTGACTGTTTGACATGGATAAAACATTATT